TAAAGAAATGATGAAATAGAGTTCAAATAGTACTTAGTATAAGTAAAAAAATTTTGGGTACCCTATCCACCTTTTTTTGTGTCCCAGAACCCTATTAGCTGCAGGGATGCTGTAGCTGTTCTTCCTAGAGTCCAACAAAAAGGTACATTGCATAAAAAGAAAATACATTATTTGTAAACACTCCAACCTAAATAAAATAAAATAAAATAAAATAAAAGACTAGATGTGACCTCCAGAGAGGAATCACAAAATACATCAAAAGGTGCTTCCTCATAAAATAACCAATGACATTTAGGTGCTATAAATAAATTACTCAGCAAGGAACATAAAATTCAGTTAGTTAGTTAGTGTTGGTCAAAAACTTACTCGTTGCAGTAAAAGAGGGGTTATGGATTATAGAAATAGATAAGATTATAATCGGATTGTTTGGAGTCTCTATAGTCACGTAGATCTACAACACCTAGATATGTTTAACTCCTTGTTTCAAGTTTCTTTGGGTTTACTCTGCAGCTGTTTGGTTTCGTTTTACAATTTCGCGTCACGGAGACACAGAACCCAGAGAGTTGCTGAAAATGAGGTCGCTTTTCCCGCGTGGAGTGGTTGAGTAGCAGCTCTATGTGTTAGGCTCTGTTCCCGGCTCCTGGCCTTGTTGCTACAGGCGCTGCTCTGTGGGGAGGAGAAAGCTGCAGGAATTTTTACTACTGCGGATCAGCTTCTTGTTACTGCCCTCATCTTCATCTTCATCCTTTCCCTCCAAACCTTAGAGGCTCCAAGGATTACTGGATTCATTCAGACCGACATGGCAGCGACTTTAAGGAGATTGACCAATACGTCCTCATTCACAGTTTTACAGGAGAAGCTTGAGAACTGGCACAGAGACTACCATGTAAGTTCATCAATAAGTCATCTTTGACCTAAATCTATCTATGAATTGTGCTTTTTTTTTTTTTTACTATGTTAACGAATTATAATTTAATGTAGGAAGAAGGCGACCGTCCGTAAAATTACTGTATTTTCTTTTAAACGTCACAGTAAACGAAAGAGGTTACTGATTTTTCTGTCGAGTTTTGGTTGCTGCGGACGCTAATCGCCATGGCAACGGTTGGACCGTTCCAAAGATATTTTCACATCAAGATGCTTCCTCTCCTATGTTTTCAGTAGAAAGCCGATAAAAAGCAACATGTTCATTAATCTTCATCAATGAAAATTGATTTGTCATAAAATGTACATTAACAAGGTAAATGTAGGCTTTTGTCTCTGCATCATTTTCTATGTCAATTAGCAGCTTAAATAAATCTATTAACATGCTCTACTACAATAAAATATGAAAATTACTAAAGCTTTTTACAAGCAGCCCTTGGGTAGTGGGTAAAATAAATTAGTGCTCATGTCAACATTTTCAATATTTGGTAAATTGATTACGGCATGTTGAAAGTAATGCTACACATTGGCAACCAATCTAAGTAACAAGTAGCAATTAAATTTAATTAAATTCAGAGTTTATTTATATTGGCCAATACACAGTAAATAAAAGGCACTTTATAAGGCAGATAATCCAATTTACATATGGGCATATATAATCTAATCTTCTTACATGATTTCAGTCTTAAAACCTTAAAAGGCTAGAATTTGTTTGGTCATTTTTCTTAACCAGCACATGTTCAAAAGACTGTGGAAAATGTAAGCTACATGGGTGGTAAAACATAGGATGAATCTACTAAAAAGTCTTTACATAGTGACTCTAGCTTGTTTTTTTGTTTTTTTTTTTGTTTTGTTTTTTTAATGCTACCGTCAAGAAAATCACAGCAGCCAGTTGTGGTATTAAAAGCTCTGTTAAAGAATTAAAGAAAACTTGATATTGTGGAGGTATTACACATAACCGTCCTGTGATTGTTGTATAAAATAAACATCCATTAAGCATCTGTAAAATAAAAAAAAAAAGCTGTGTTAATGCCAAGTGGTAGTTTTTATAGCCTTTGTCAAATCAGATTATGTAAACACTTTTATTTTGTTAAATTTTGATTCTTTATTGCATTCTTGTCCAATTGTAAAAATCATCTTATATTTTTCAGACATGTTGATTTTTTTTTGCATGCCAGGAGGGTTCAGAATGAGGAGCATGTGTTACATTGCATGATAACAAACCATCTAGCATATTTATTCATTCACGTATTGAAAATCTTTTGTTTTTATGCAGGTTTTTTCCTGCGAACAGAATCTGAACAGATGTTGTGAGTTGATCGAGCTCACTGCCAAGATCCAAGGCCAGCTGTTTGCTATCCTAAACCTTGCTGCAGCTGAAGGTAGGGTTCTCATTCGCTATTTCGGGAGCAGATTTCTTTTAAAAACCAAACTTGATCTTTTAAAAATGACTTGTTACTTTTTTCAGGTGGTCAGTATGCTGGAGTTGACACTCTTAAAACACGTCTTCTTCCTTGGCTTGGAAATAGTTTCTCCATTTCAAGGCCTTCTGTCACTGATGACACCAGCATGCAGCTCATCCAGGTCCCCAGTCATAATTTACGCTGCTTTCATCTAGTTTAATAATACAATCATCCCTCTGTTCATTGTGGTGATGTGGTTGCATATTTTGATGTACCAGGATTCAGCAGAGAAGGACAGACAGCTCAGGGAGCTCTCTTGCTCCCATGAGAGCGACATGAAGAAGATGGAGGTTCAGCTGATCTCCACTCGCCTCCAGCTGGACTCGGTCACTGCAGAGTGAGTCATAATATCAGAAATAATACATTAAGGAGGTGTTTTTACTGTGATGAAACACTTTAGTACCAATGATTTCTTGTTTATTTATGTTTATTACCAGGCTTGTGGATGTTCAGAAGGAGCTGGAAGAAACAAAGAGGAAGTCAGCGACCACCCTACTCGCCACCGAGGATGAAATCTTACAGCTCAAATCAGAGTGAGGGACGCAGTTCAAAAGCATCAAATTATACCTGTTAGAAATTCTTTTTCACAAAGTTGATCTTTTTTTTAGTTTACGTTCTGCAAATGAGAGGTTGGAAATCTATAAGAGGAAGCTGGAGGCTCTTGATGACTATGAGCGACAAATTCGCTTGTTGAAGGATGAAGTGTCTTATCTGAACACAGAGAAGGCCATGCTGCAAGAGAGGTACAGCTAATGCAAAACACTGGATGGGCTAATTCTGATGTTCCATTGGGTCCTACTTATACGCTGACACCGATACTCATTGATATTTTCACATTTTGTCTTGTTGAAAACCTAAAATTCATTTTATTTTATTGGGACTTTAGTTGATAGACAAACACAAAGTAGTGCACAACTATTACTTTCCAATCTATTTGACAAGTAAAAAAAAAAAAAAAGGGAGCTGGCAGTTATATTTATCCCTCCAGGTTCAGTAGTTCAATCAAAACTACAAGTCATCTGGAGTACATTTCTCCTTGAATTTACAATTAGGCTTGTTTGTTGACATCTAGGGCTGCAACTAGCGCTTCTTTTGCTTAAACTTTTGATTATTTCTTAGATTAATCGGATAGCAAAAACAACCCTAAAGAAGCTGTTGAAGGTTCTCAGTCATCCAGGTCATAGCCTTTACAAAAAAAGGAAATTAAAAACAATCAACTGGACTTTGCTTCCAAGTTTAAAGATGTTGTGCTTCCCTTCTGTTTTTGTAGGGACAAAAACAGAAGGGAAGCACAACATAAAAGAAGAAAAACACATCAAATATGCTCTTCAAACCTGTGGATACCCAAACTGGGCATTTGTCAAATCAGCAAGGAAATCCAAAAGACACGCAGCAGAACATAACAGTGAGAATATTAAATGAAAAAACATCCCCATCCCATATGTTGCTTGAGTCTCTGAAAAACTCGAGAAGATTTTCTCCAAACACAATATACCAGGAAATTTCTAACAAAACAAGACCCTTAGACTTAGACTGGTGCATCCCAAGGACAAAACCCACAGACCAAATATGAGTTGAGTGGTGTATGCAGTTTAATGCAGTGAGGAATACTCTGATCTTTATATTGGAGAAACCAAGCAACCTCTCCACAAACGCATGGCCCAACACAGAAGAGCGACCTCATCTGGACATGACTTGCATTACATTTATACCTTATGGACAAAGACATTCTTTTGAGGACCAGAATGTTCACATTTTGGCCAAAGAAAATAGGTGGTTTGAGAGGGGCGTGAAGGAAGCCATCTATGTTAAGAAAGAAAAAACAACCTTAAACAGACGGGGTGGACTCAGGTTCCAGCTCTCAAAAACCTACAATGGAGCATTAAGTAGGTCCCTTCCCACTATTATTGCAGCCCCAGCCCCTGCACAGGAGAGCGGTGGAGCTCGCCTATTCAGCCAGGCCAACAATTTCCCTTAACAAACTGATGGGTATGGGGCATTGCAATCTAACAAAAGAAGCCAAACGACCCCCATTCCGAAGGGGTGGAGCCCTTCATCCGTTCAATTTGCATGTTGCAAAACAAGGTTTTGATGGGCTACTGTATAAAACCTCGAACTCAACTCTATTCCTGGCATTTGAATTGAAAAAGCTTCCTGGATGGGAAGCAAAATGTCTTCAAACTCAGATGCAAAGTCCAGTGGTTTGTTTTTAATTTTCTGTTTTGAAACACTAAAGAAGATTTTACATAAAATTTAAACCAGGTGAAGCTAAAACAATTCCAGAGAAGTTCTTGAAAAACACACTGACAAATAAGATGTTTTTTTTTTTTTTTATCTGAAATGCAAAATGTTACATATATATATAAAAACTAACTAGTAATGTAATAAAATAAAAGTTGAAACTATTAATGATTGACAGACGGAAAGGGTTGAAAACATGAGTCAGTTTTCAGACATTTATAAATTCACTGAAACTGCCTGATCAGGCTGAGATTTGTCCTTCTTCTCGGTAAAGTTCAAATTGAGTCCGACTGAACGAAGACAGTATAAATATTAGCTTTTAGGTTTATAATTGGTTTCAAATCTTCTGCATCTTGTAAAAGCTTCCCTATAGGATTGCCCTGTATTTAACAAATACATGTTTGCTCCAAGGCTCAGTAGCTACAATGGGCCTGCTGAAGAAACGCACAATGCTACTACCATTGTATTTCTTGTGCAACCGCAGATTTCAGGGTGTCGTGCACTGCTAGCTTTTCCTCCAGACATAATGCATGTAGGAAAAAAAGGTTATATTCACTCCAATCATTAACGATTTTCTGCAAATATTGTCTTCTTGCCAAAGCACCAGAATTATTCTTTATTTACAAGTTGAGAAAACAAACTTCATTTATCATACTTTGTATTTGTTAAAATCACATATCATTTCTGTTCTGCTTCACAGTTATTTGCTGCTTTATGTTTATCGATCACCTAAAATCCCAATATAATAAATTCAGTTTGTGGTTAGAAGTTCTGTGAATACATTTTGCAAAACAGTGTAGTTGGTGTTTATGCTTCCACCTCTCAGGTTGGTCAGAAGTCGCTCTCCGAGCCCTTTGCCCAGGCTCAGCCGCTCATCCAGCCCACCGAGGAACGGGTCGCCCACCAGAGCCCAGCTTACCAACTCCTCCCGCTACGCACGCCTCGTCTCAAGTTTCAGTGATCTGTACGCCGTGGAGCGTCTGGAAGCACAGAGCCTCCTACGACGCTACATTGCAGACTTTGAGATGATCCAGAGAATCATCTTTATAGCTGCCATGGTGCATATAAGCTTAACATGATGACAGAAAAATACAGCAGCTTAAACTCTCTTACATTTTATCCAAATGCAGCACAACATGGCAAACTTGTCCATGTTGCTTTTCATATGTTGCTGTGTTTTTACACTGCGGCAGTGGCTGTACGGCTGTTTGTTTTCTTTGTTTTAGGAGTCCTTCCAAAGAGCAAAACTGGACTACCGTAAGTTCAAGCTGCGAGTGAGAAAGACGCTGTCCTCCCACATTGGTCCTGAAAGTCTGGAGGACGCTGCTGTGGATTACATCGTGAAAAACCTGGACCTCTATGATGTTCAAAGCAGTGTCAATGTAAGACAAACTAATCTCCGACCAGCAGCATTTAATGACAGAGAGCTGAAGCATGAGCTTTGGCAAATTAAGTGTCCGTGTTTGAATCTGTTTGTTTTCAGATCTCCCTACTTTACATTTTTTTTGCGATAAAATTGCAAACCTCTGTTCATGTTATTTGGGTTAGATGTGATAGACAAACACAAACTAGTGCATAACAGTGAGGTGGTATCTGTTCTTCTCAGTATAGCTTAGGATCAGGCAGATTAAACAGAGAACATCACTAAAGAATGAGTCATTAACAAAAATTCTCAATTAGATAGAAGTCTAGATTTTGACTAGGCCATTCTAACTCATACAATACGCTAAGATCTAAATCTATTTCCCCCCAGTAGGTTTTATTCCCATATTGGTTTGTGTTCAGCTCCATCTGTCTTTCTATCAACTCTGAGTGGTATCTCTGCTTCAGGCGACCACACAGCATAATACCACCACCACCCTGTTTCACTAATAGGATATTTGTAATGCTAGTTTTTAGCCACACTCAGATTTTTTCATGTTGGTTGAAAAAGAAAACATGTTTTGTTTTAGTTTGACCAGAGCACCTTCTTGTCTGTTTTAGCTGATCCATTTGAGTTTAATTTTTTAAACCGGATTCCCTATTTCCTTCTTCTTCGCACGTTTTCAAGTTTTTGAGAATTTATCCGATTAGACAAATAGTCAGCAGAGCCCCACAGCAGGATGGTGCCGACGGATATCAGGAGTGTTGGTACCATCTCATGCGTTCAAAGTTTTACACTTAACACTCAATAATGTTGTGTAATAAAAGAGCTGAATTAAAATTAGCCTATTTACACAAACGCTAACTCTGGGAATTGTGTTGCCTCTGAAAGCAATTTGGTTTCAATGTATGATATTTATGGGAATCAGAGAAAAGGGGGCTAAATACAAATGCATGTCACAGTAATCAGATTTGATAAGTAAATCACTTTGAACACCAAATAGACGTGTAAATACTTCAGGCACTTGTTGTTTTTTTCCCCCTTTAGGATGTGATCAATGCTATGAACCTGAACCTTCAGATCTCCTTCCCTCCTGAGGTGGACTTAAGTCTCATTAGTGATTTAATCAGAGAGACATGCAGGGTTGCTTTTGCCATGCAGACACTGGACCCACCTCTTGATTTGGCCTTTGCAAGTGATGGTGAACTATACAACGATACCAAGTTAGTACAACGAAAGCTTCTGGGAAAAAATCCCAGTTTTTGTTTGTTTGTTTATTTTTCCTTCTACACTTCTACACACTCTGCCATAGGTACAGCTAAGCAGGGAATGAATGCAGTGCATCTTTCTGCAGCTCATTGCTGTGGCATGAGGCTCCATCCAGCAGATGTCACCCTCAGCTCTAATATGATGCAGACTCACATCTCTCTTTTCTTTTCCAGATACCGCCGCAGCTTTGACTCCGAGTTCACAGCTCCTCTGGTGAGCTACCATGTGTGGCCTGCCTTGGTGGAAGGAAACACGGTAGTTGTTAAAGGCGAGGCTGTGACCAGAAGAGCGGCACTGGTAAATATTCCATAGAGCTTAAATGATTCAAATGGCTGTGCAGAGATTTACATGGTAAAGTTTGGGGTTTGGATCTGTTTTTTTCTAGTGGAGCAGAAGCAGGAGCAGAAGTGTCAGCCCTTTACGCTCCCGATCTCTCAGCCCATCTCACAGTCTTGTAAGTCTTTATGACATCTGAGGGTCCCACTAATCACCCAATATTATGGTGGAACTTTTAAATTTAGATGACAAAAATGTTTATATGGTTTTATATTACTGACATACATGCTCACAAACGGCCCAAACGGTATGTTGTGAAAAATTTCAGTTTAACTGAGTTGAATCTGTATAAACATACATCTCTATAGAAATGCAGACTTAATCAACTCAGTTATATGTAATTTTTTCTTTTACAGAGATTTAACAGCAAGAAAAGCCTATCTCCTGATCGCCTTACAACAAGGCACCTGTGAGCTCTCGCCTCCTTGGTGAGCAATGCGCTGATTTCCCCCACTGCTTCCTGCATATAAAATAAACTCTTGGGGATTTGGATATTTGAAATCTACGGTGTGTTTTATCCATCCATTCATCAATTCTCTTCCGGGGTCGGGTCGTGGGGGTAGCAGCTTCAGTAGGAAGGCCCAGACGTCCCTCTTCCCAGGGGAAATCCGAAGCGTTCCCAGGCTAGCCGAGAAACATAGTTCCTCCAGCGTGTCCTGGGCCTCCTCCCAGTGGGACGTGCCCAGAACACCTCACCAGGGAGCTCAGCTTTCTCTTCACCACAATGGACTGGTACAGCACCCCCTTCACAGCAGACACTGCACCTTTCCGCCTGTCGATCTCCCACTCCATTTTTCCCTCATTTGTGAACAAGACCCCAAGATACTTAAACTCCTCCACTAGGAACAGTACATCCTCCCAAACCCAGAGAAAGCACTCTAGTATTTTACAGCTCAAACCATGGTAATGGATTTGGAGGCACTGATCCTCATCTTGGCTGCTTCACACTTGGCTCCAGTGAGAGCTGTAGATCACGTCCTGATGAAGCCAATAGAACCACATCAACTTCAAATAGCAGAGACATTATCCTAAGGCTACCGAAACGGATCCCCTAAACACCTTGGCTGCGTCTAGAAATCTGTCCATAGAAATTATGAACAGAATCTGTGACAATAGACAACCTTGGCGGAGTCTCGCCAGAAACGAGTCTGATTTACTGCCAGCAATGCGGACCCGGGTCTCACACCGATCATACAGAGACCTAACAGCCCTTGTTAAAGGTCCTGGTACTCCATAATCTCGGAGTATCCCCCCTACAGGACCCCCCCAAGGGAAACGGTTGCATGCCTTCTCCATAAAATCCATAAAAGCACATGTAGACTGGCTGTTATGTGTTTTATATGATCTTATATTAGATTATTAATCAAAGATTGTTTATATTTTACAATGTGCAGAAATAGCCAAGCAGCTACTCTTACTATATTTGCTGAGGTGTAGATTCTTACTAACAGTGTTCTGTTGGGCTCATCAAATTTATTATCTTTATTTTGAGATATTTGAAATCATATTCAAAATGTTAATTTCTTTATATGTACGACCAAAGCCTGCAGCAACAGTCTTTCTCAAGACTGTGAAGGACGTTCCTATATGGTGCTAAAGATGTCAGTTCTAACCTCACAATCTTTGGTGCTTCAGGATCTGGTGTCTACTGTTAAAAGTACATTCTTATATGTTTGTTGAATTTTATTGTGCGCTTAATTTAGTTGTTTTGTACATAGAATAAAATTGAACTTTATTGTCATTACACTGTCACCAGTACAAAGCGAAGAAATTCATTCTCTGCATTTCACAGATCCCTTTTTGAGGGAGCAGTGGGCAGCCGATGTGCAGTATGCATGTTAAGGGTCTTGCTCAGGGAGCCAGAGTGGCAGTCCATGGGAGTAGTGCTGAAAATGCAGAATTCCCTAACCAATAGGCTGCCGCTACGCCATATAAAACAGCACCACCCCAGATGGGACTTGAACCCACAATCCCTGGCTTAGGAGGCCAGTGCCTTATCCATTGGGGCTACATACCAGAAACCTTTTCCCTGTTTCATATATCGTGAAAATTGTTCTGTCATACAGGGCATACCTAAAGCCTTGAAAAAAATTTACATTTTCTTTATACTTCAAAAAAAAATTTTTTTATAAGTATGAAAGTAATAGATACTTAATTTGAGTTGTAACTTGAACTACTTTATCGTCCATTTTTTAATCTTGCTTTGGGTCGAGGTTTGCTCTATGAAGAAAATGCTTTAAAAAGGCACCTTTTATAATTTATTTCATTTGTTAATTAAAGGAATGTACTCAAAGAAGGATTTAAATTAAAAAGATGCACAACAATAGGAGGCAAAAAAGCGAACTGATTTGTAGTCAGTTTTCTTATATCATTTTTCATGTCATGTCAACTTAACAACAATCTATGGTGTTTGAATGATTTTATAGAGTAGAATAGATTGTAGAAGATGAATAGGACGTTTCATAACACAGGATCATGTTATTAGC